GAGTCTTCTCTGTTGCTGTGTGGAGCAGCCTGTGTCAGTCACCTTTCACACGTCACTCATTCATCCGGTCATGCACTGCAGTCTCATAAGGAAACTCAGCTTTTTAATATAACGTTTTTCTTGTTCCCGAATACAAATATTTTTTAAAGTATTTGTTCGAAATAAGTATTCATAAAAAACACGATATTTGTTCCTTTCCGAATACGTATTCAGGTTCGGCTCCACCCCATCACATACACTATCTGCTACAAAGACATGACACACCTGATCCAGCAGGGTACGACACCATCGTGTTAGAGATTCAGGAGTGACAGCGTGGCCACAGGACATCTCTGCTCTGAGAGAGTCATCACCTGAGGAAGAAGTGGACAATAACAGATGTATCAGTTACACTACATATACTGGATTGCACCAAAATATAATAAACTCTGTGGCTCATGAAAAATTTAAAAAAGGAATAGGAGAAGTTTTATAATGTGTGGTAATGACTGTCAGAAAAAAATGTTTGTAGCAGTTTTTGTGGGGCAACATGGTGGTGAAAAAGAAAAAAAAATCTTACACAGTGGATTCAGATCATCTGGCCTGCTGACGAACTTTAGGGTAGAATCTAGTGGATCGTATCGCTTCTCCACCTGCTCCGGTCCTGGAGCGCTCATTTGGGTTCTACGGAAAGAAAATCTGACACTATGAATACTGTCTGGTTTAGTCTTATGTTTAGTTTAGTTAGTTTAGTTTAGTCTAGTATATGGATTTCAAATCGCATCTGCCGTTATCACCTGTCACAAGAACCATGTCTTTTCCAGACTCGATACAATAAAAACGTTAAAAGGTATTAAAGATGTATTTAAAGTACTTATGAGCCATTACATTTCTTTCTCACAATCGCTCTTCTAGTTCATGTTAAAGCTGTATGATGGGGCTGAGTTTAAGGCCACACCAAACTCATTCAGCCACGCCTTTATGGAGCTTGCATTCTGCACTGGAATGTGCATGTACGAACATGTATTCATTTATGATCGCGGGCTGAATAATGTTGACTCATGTTAGAAAATGTCAGTTTTCATTGTTACACAAAGCTGCTAAAAAATGTGTAAAAGGACGAAGGGGTCTGAAGCGACTGCATGCTCACAGTGTTGTGTGAGCTATGATGAGCTGTTTAAACAACATCCAGGGAATTTCCAGTTGGATGAAACTGAAAGCACCAAGTGCACGAAGTGCTTTCAGTTTTGATTGCCTATTATTTTTAAATTGAAAACACCTTTAAGAACAGTGATCACTCTATTAACAATGACATACATAACCATATTAGGACTACCTTATGTCACAGGTTCTATAAGATGACGCAGATTTAATTAGCAAAGGAGCAAAGACTGCAAATATCAAGAGTAGGTTTAAAAAGTGAAACGTAACATCTTACCCTGTTGGCACAGCTTGTGTCGCTTTAGTTTCTGGTACTTTCCTTCTTCTTTTACTTCCCAACTGGTATGGGAACAGCAACCTAAAAGTAAAAGGGATGAACTTAGTAAGTTATTGCTTAAACCTGTGGACAAAATGTGAACCATCACAGAAAATCTAACTAAGCTTCCTAAACGCACAGAAATATAGAGAAACATATATAGTGACAACTTATTGTCATCACATAGACACAATTTATTTTTATTTTATTTTATTCTACCTCAGGGAAACCTATCATCAGTGGCCATTATATATTATATATGTGTGTGTACCGAAGGAGTTACGAATTAAAAAATAAAATATACACCACTTAAAAACAAAGAGTGAGCTCACGTACCCGTTTAAATAAAGCTTCAATAAAGCTTCACACATGACTTCGACTGTACTTGGAGACCTAAAGGATGAAGAAGAACAGCAGACAGCATGCATGCAGTTTAATTTTAGCATGCTACAATAAAGTGCTGTACTCGACAGAAACAGTTTACACTACAAACAAAACAAAACAAAACTATAACACAAGTCTTATGAGTGTATAAAGCAAGATTTGAATACCTAACTGGTGTGCAAACAGGGACACTAACGCGTACTCACCGCTCCTCAGCAGGACCGCTAAGCGACGACTGTACTAACCTCGAGGAAGTGACATGACAGGAAGTCAGTCGAACATCGCGCAGAG